CGTCGCGAGAATCCTCTGCAAAAAATGAGACGAAGTGCAGACGCCCGCGTCGTCGCGGACGTATGCCGAAAACCTTCGAAACCCATCGGTTTCGGAAGGATTTCAAAATCGTGCGTCCAAAAAACCTACAAGAACCCAAGGTTTCGCAACACAGATTTTCAACAAAAGCGTGCGCGCGCGCGCTCTTGCGTCGTCGTCGTCGTCGTCGTCGCCGTCCTCCCTCCTCCCGCGTCGTCGTCGTCGTCGCCTACGTCGTCCTCTGTCTTTTCTCCTGTTTGTCGTCGTCGTCCTCTTTGGCGTCGTGGTCGTTTCCATCGTCGTTGTCGCCGTGGTCGTCCTTCCTCCTCCTCCCACGTCGTCGTCGTCGTCCGTCGTCGGCGTCTCATCGTCGTCCCTCCTATGTCGTCGCCGTCGTCGTCGTCGTTGTCGTCGTCGTCTTCCCTCCTCCCTCGTCGTTGTCGTCGTCGGCGTCGCCGTCCTTCCTCTTTCGTCGTCGTTCGCGTCGTCACCGTCCTCCCTCCTCCTTCGTCGTTGTCGTCGTTGTCGCCGTCGTCGTCCTTCCTCCTTCCTCGTCGTCGCCTTCGTTGGCGTCGTCGTCGTCTTCGTCGCCGTCGGCGTCGGCGTCGTTGTCGTCGTCGAAGTCGTCGGAGACGTCGTCGGTGTCGTCCTAGTCGTTGTCGTCGGTGTCGTCGTAGTCGGTCTTAACAGGTTTTGCAAACCAAGTTGCGGGTGGGCGGGTGGGATGTTTGCGCGAGCAGTGGAGATGACGACTTCAAGTTCCGCAGAGTGGTTTATTGCACCACGTAGATTGCACCCCAGACGGTGCACAACATACCTGGCACAACATAGTTCGCACACGGTACATTGTATCACTGGCATTCCACAGCATACATTGCTCCACATATATTGCACACCATCTTGCAGGAAGCTCAGCCTGTTGTTGTGCCCGCGCAAACGAACATGTTGTTCCTCTTGTGTTGCTCCCCGTACTTCAAGGATGGTTATTGTTACTACTATGACCGCGCCGATTCGTTCAGGTCACCTCCTCCCGCCTCCTCCTTTCCCCCCCCCAGTCAGAGATCGATGATGCTGATGGTTCTGATGCTGATGGTGTTGTGTTGATGGTAATGATGCTGATGATAACGATGATGGAAGTTGACGATGATGCTGATGATGATGGTGATGATGATCGAGCTGTGTATGGCGATCATGATGATGATGCTGCTGCTGATGATAATCAAATGCTGATGGTGATTCTGATGATGCTGATGATGATGATGATGATGATGATCATGCTGATTATGATGATGATGATGCTGCTGCTGCTGCTAATGATGATGATGATGATGATGATGATGATGATGATGATGATGATGATGATGATGATGATGATGATGATGATAATTATGATGATGATGGTGATGGTGATGACGATGATGGTGATGTTGATGACCAGAAGAACAGGGGCCATATTGTGAGGATGCCTCGAGCGGTTTGCTGGCTTCAGCACTCCTCGGGATGGCCGCCAGGGGTATCTCACGGCTTCCGTTCGCGCCCAGATTGCGGGGACGATTCGAGCGGTCTGCCTGTTTGCATGTCCAACATCTTCCGCTTCCCGAGCAGATTTGGAAGATGTCTCGTGCGAGGCGCTGGCTTTCGCACCCCAGGGGGGGGCCCGGGCTGCGAGGCTGTCTCCAGCGGTCTGCCTGTTCTGCTGGCCAGACGCGTGGGCACGGATCCTCCCCTGGAGGCTCCCGCAGGCTGCCGGAGGACCCGGGAGGCCCCAGGAGGCCCCAGGAGGCATCATGGAGGCCCCAGGAAGCCACAGGAGGCCCCGGGAGGCCCCAGGAGGCCCCAGGAGGCCACAGGAGGCACCAGGAGGCTCGAGGAGGCCCCAGGACGCACCAGGAAGCACCAGGAGGCACCAGTTGGCCACAGGAGGCCACAGGAGGCCACAGGGGCAACAGGAGGCCCAGGAAGGCTCCAGGAGCCCCCACGAAGCCCTAGGAGCAGGAGGCCTCAGAAGGCCACAGGACTGGCTCCAATCTCCAGTGTTTTACGTTTCTATAGATTGGCCTTCTCCTGCGTATCCGCTCCTAAGTGTTCTGCGTATGTTCCGATAGGTTGGGCCTGCCCTGGGGCACGAGACTTTGGTGCTTTACGCGTGTTTCTGTATATTGCCCTTCTCCCGTGGCTCCAATCCGAAGTGTTTTACGTCTGTTCCTATAGATTGGGTCTCTCCTGGGGCGCGAATCTTTACCAGGAGGCCCCAGGAGGCTCCTGGAGGCCCCAGGAGGCCACACGAGGCTCCAGGAGGCTTCAGGAGGCCACAGGAAGCCCCAAGAGGCCCCAGGAGGCCCCAAGAGGGCTCCAGGAGGCACCAGGAACCCCCAGGAGATGTCAAGAGGCCCCAGGAGGCCCCAGGCTCATGCGCAGAGGCGCACTAATACTACTGAGGCTCATTCACACTCCAACTCATTCACGGTTAGATTCGCTTCCAGACCGTCCAAATTCAAGCTCGTTTATATCAGAAATCTGTTTCGCCTGGACACTCACGGCGGACAGGTCCATGCTGATAGATGCACATATGGGGAGCTCCACGCAGTGAATAATCATTTTTCCAGCAGCCCGATACATGAGCGAGCAGATGTGCCCGTTTACATCCGTGGATTCTGCTTGGGCTGTCTGGCATGTGAACTACGTTTCGTTCTTCGCATCACATTTGTAATCCGGGAGCACCTCTCTGTCGACCCCTGTCCACCCAGACATGTGGGGCTTGCACCACTGCTCATTTTGTAGGACCGAGCCTTCTTGCAGCCCTTTTGTGGGGCGACTTTGAGGTCTCTTGGGCAGCCTGAGGCTATCCGTGGCAGTCTTCCAGGACCCTGCCAGCAACCCGATTGCATGGGTCGGGGAGCCAAACCGCCGCCCCCAAGAACCCTCGGGCGCCCGGTCGCCACTGGCTCCCAGCCGGGGGCCCCGCAGCAGGAAAGCGACACAGGGTCACGGGAAGCGCGTCCTCCACGGCGCACGTCCAGACCCACCAGGCGCCTGGCTCGTCGCCCTCCGTCTTTGATGGGCGGGCCCGCGGCTCACGAACCCTGCCCCCCTGCCCCTGCCCTTGCCCCAGCGCTGGGTCTCCTGTTTCTGGGGTTTGATCGCGAGTTTCGTGTCCGCCGTGTTCGCCAGAGGAAGAGGGTCATGGCCCCGTGAGACGCTTCGCGTAGCGGGAGTCACGGGGGGCGTCTAGATCCCGCACAGCCACGTTGGCCATGCAGGCTGTGCTCCCTGAAGGAAGAACCTTGAGATCCGACGTTGCGAGAAATGGCACCATCGCGAAACATCCCGACGGGAGCCCTCGACCCCATCTTTCTTGGGCATTCTTCGAGCCGGATCGATCCGTGATTGTCCTGGGGCCCAAGACCGGGCGAAAACGCTCGGTGTGAATACATCGCAGCGCCTGGATATCAGGTAACGTGCGATGGCCTGCTCGGCCCTGGTCGTCCCGGCGCCTCCTCGCGGCAGATCCGCTCGCTTCGGCGCTGGGAAGCGCTCGCTAACTACATATTGCAGTCGTTCAGTGCCGTGGGCTTCCTCCTGGATCGCTTCGGCTGGGCCGCCGCTGCCGCCGTGACGCAAAGTTGAAGGCTTCTTGCGTGTCTCGCGCATTCGGGACGCGGTTGGCCCTGAATGCCGCACTCTCTCCGGTGGTCGCGTGGATGCCGTTGGACTCCTGTCGGTTCTTTGGCCCTCCCCCAATTGGACCTGTGGGCTGCACTCTGGTGGCATCTTGGTTCCGATTTTTTCTATGAATTCCAGCTGCTTTATTTTCCCGCTGGTGTCGTGCGCCGCACTTTCAGGCGGCCGTTGATTTTGCTATGAGCTCCGATGGGTTCTTATGGCTTCACCACCAAGTTGTCCCTCGCGCGGCATTAAATGGTGCCCGCTTGGATCAAGATGGGCTCCCATAGATTCCTGTGGGTTTCCCCGTCTGCCGCACTTTCTGGCGGCCGCTTCGATATTTTTAATTTGTATTAGGTATGTGATTTCCTATGGCTACTCTCCCCCCCTTGCCCGATGCGCCACACTTCAAGGCGACCGCTTTGACTACTATCGGTTTTCGTAGGTTCTTATGGTTTCCCTCCCCACGGTGTGGGCGCACCCCATAGAATGCAACCCGCGTGTAGCATCGAATACATCAGGCCTAATGGTTCGTACCCACAGGCGGCACCGCATCTACTGCACAGGGAGACTCTTTGAAGTCCACGTGCTGGCATGCTGGAGCTCGTGAGCGCTCCAAGCACTGATCTAACACGAATCGCAATAGCCTCAATCGCGGTTGGGCCTGGGTATCCCTAGGGTGGTGCAGTGAGTGGTGGGGGGAGGAGGAGGAGGAGGAGGAGGAGGAGGAGGAGGAGGAGGAGGAGGAGGAGGAGGAGGAGGAGGAGGAGGAGGAGGAGGAGGAGGAGGAGGAGGAGGAGGAGAGGAGGAGAGGAGGAGAGGAGGAGGAGGAGGTGCCTGCACAGGTTGTGTCACTAGGGTTGTGGTCATGGTCTGGTGTCCATCGGCCTGTGCGGCTGCTCCCGCCGCGCCACAATCGTACCTGGCTGCTCGATGCGTGGCTTGGGACATGGCTTTGGTTCTGGTCGTCGATGAAGCGTTCCTCGGCTTTGATCGTTTTGTCGCTTCGCCACCCCGCGGTCGCCTACGACCCGCCCCGCAACCCGCCCCTCAGCCCAACCCGTACCCCGCTCGCGACCCGCCCTTGGGCCCGCTCGCGGCTTTCCGCGCGACCAGCCACGTGGCCCACCCGCGACTTGCCTGCGCCTGGAGCCCCCCCGCGCTCCGCGCCCCCCCCTTCACTCGTATCCGCCAGCGTGGGGGGCATGTCGCATTGCTAGTGATACGAGTTGCACCGCTGCGGTTGCTCAGCAGAGGGCCTCTGAGAGTCCAGCGCATCTTACAGCGCCAGGTCCTACCCAGTATGGCCCCCTTCGCAGGCCACCAACTTCAGCAGTTTCGAGGTACTGCCAATGTCCCACGTGGTCCGCGCGTCCCCCGCCGTAGTCGCCGTGGGCAGCAACACGCCTGTCACGTTGTACGGTGGCGCCCTCGGTGCCATGCTTCAGGCCACCGTCGGGTCGCAGTGCGTCTTCCATGCCAAGGGCATCAACGCCGCGTCGCGGAGCACGCCAGCCTGGATCTTGGACGACCAGCGCGTGGTGTGCCATGTGCCCCCGATGGATGTGCCCGACGCCAGTGGAGGCGTGGATGTCGGCGTGACCATGCGGGTGCACGGCTACCTGCTCACATCGCAGGCGTCCTTCCGGCTGACTCCAGCCCGGCACTTCTCGCAGCCACGCCTCTCCGAGCTGGCCACCCCGCAGCAGTATGGGCAGCGCTCGCCTTGGAACGTCACCTTGCAGATGGTGGCAGCCACCGCGGAGCAGAGCCCGCAGGGTGTTGCACCTGTGATGTTTTCGGCGCAGAACTCGCTCTTCCGAGGTCCCGCTCACCGGCTACTGTGGCTGGAGCCTGCATCACAAGAGACAGAACAGTTTGGCAACGGCACGGTGTCAGTTCGCATCGACATCTCTACAGAAGAGCTGCAGCTGCTCCTTATGGCTCCCGTGGTGGACTACTCGCTGGATTTTGCGCCGCCCGTTCTCTTGCGGGCTTATTTCCCTGACGAGACAGACCCGGCGGCGCGTACCGCGGGCTTGTTGGTGCCGTCGTCTGCCGCGGCAGAGGTGACCCCAGCTGTGCTGCGCGCGGCGCCGCGGGTCTTCAGCGTGAGCCCGCCGATCATCCCATGGCACGACCGCGCTGGGTTCGCAACAGATTTGCGCGAGCAGCCACGGGTGACCGTCTCTGGGGCAGGCTTTGTGAACTCGCGCCACCTGACGTGTCGCTTCGTTGACATGCGCGGCGGCTTGCTGGCCTCGCCGTCGGCACGTTACGTTGACCGCGAGCAGGTGCGCTGCGAAGTGCCGCAGCTCCAACTGCCTGGCAGCATGGGTGTCCTGGTGCAGGTGTCCAATGACAACAAGACGTGGTCTGAAGAGGAGATGGTCGTCTACGTAGTGAATGCGATTGAGCTCGCGGAAGTGGTGCTGTACCCCTCCTTCGGGCAGCTCAACGGCAGCACGGCAGTAGAGGTGGTAATGCCGCGGCAGATGCCGAACGTGGAGACCCTCGGCTGCTTGTTCGGCCTCGGATCGAGGGCACGTTCCGAAGCCATCGTGGTAGAGGATGGCCGTGTCCTTTGTGTCGGAGACCAGCCAGTCGACAGCATGAGCTCGCGTCTTGCTGGCGAGACGCTTTCGGATGACTTCCCGCTGGTGGTGCCAGGCACCGCTGTGGGATTCCGGCTGACTCTGGAAGCGACCGTCCCCGACGACATCGAAGAGGCCCGGCTCACGACTTCCGAGCCCACGGGGTTCGTGTACACCACTAGCCCGACGTTCGAGAGGCTGTCGGAGCGCTTCGCCACGACCGGGCAGACTGTGACCGTCCGCGGGCAGAACTTCCCCTTTGGCCAGGACGGCCACGGCCTGGTGCGCTGCTACTGGCAGCTCGTGCGCGCGGTCACGGCGGGAACGCTGCTCTCAGATTCGCTTCTCAGCTGCGCCGCACCCGAGCTGCCGCTCGTGCAGCTGGCCTCCGAGCTGGGCATCGAGGAAAGGCTCATGCACGTCTCGTTCGACGGGGGCCGCAACTACATCCGTGCCACGACCGCCGGGCTGCCACTCATGATCCTGCACCAAGGTCGTGGGCCCAGAGTCGTCCGTATCTCGCCCACGTACACCACGGCTGGCCGCGGCGACCATGTCACCCTCACGGGCGGAGACTTTGCGCCGCTGCGATGGCTGTCGCCGTCCTTCGGGCGCTGCGAGTTCTCCAGCGACGACATCGGCTATGCAACACCCCCTGCCTCGGCGGCGGTGTACCTGAACGGCCGCGAGGTGCGCTGCAGGGTGCCGCTGGAACTCCAGCCCGCCGCCCACGTCGTCCGGCTGGTGTTCTCGTACGGCAGTGTGCACGTGGAGGCTCGGTACGGGACATCGGCTGGGGAGCTCGGGATGGCGCTCTTTGTTTTGCCATCCCTGGCGATCCACCGAGTGCTCCCTGCATGGGTGCCAACTGGTGGCCGCAAGCACGTCGTGGTTGCAGGGGAGCGTTTCTTGCCGGCGGCGGCCTTCCCTGTGGGCGGGCAGGGCCAGTACTGGTGCACGTTCGGAGAGGCAGTGCCCGTCTCGGCCGTGCGACTGTCGTTGTCAGAGGTTGCCTGCCCAACCGTCTGGTACAAGGGCGACAACGTGACCCTGCAGATTGTCTTGGAGGCACCGAGCGGTGGAACCGGGTTGCCCAGTGTTGCCCCGGTTGCCTTCAGGACGCTGCCAGTCGTGCACAGGGTGCAGCCTGCAGTCGTCCTCGCTTATCACCTCGGCCAAAAGCTCCAGATCTTTGGCCAGCATTTCTGGCCTGCCACTGGCTGGGTGCTGGAGTGCCGATTCGGCGAGGATGGCTCCGAGACCTCGACTGCGCACGTCTCCGCCGCTGGTGACCGCGCGGAGTGCGAGATCGCCGAGGGCGTCCCCGGAAGGCTGCCGGTTTACCTTGTAGTCGACGGGAAGGACGAGGTGTTGGCGCTGCCAGAGCTCGAGTACGTGGAGCGGCCGTTCACGTCGGCCGTCACGCCCAAGACCTTCGTGGAGGGCTCCCAGACGTGGGCAACGATCTCTGGTCACAGCGTGGATGAGATCAGCCAGCAGCAGCTCATGTGCCGCTTCTGGGCGCACGCCTCCACCGAGCCCTTCGATTGGATGACTTTACATTTGGAACAATGGGGAAAGGTGCTCGAAAGCGTGTCGCGGGCCGCATGTGGTGCTAATGACACGAACATGTCAAACATCTCCAACATGTCTGGTTCGTACCAGGATGACGTTTTTGGCGAAACGTTCAACATGTCAATGGCCGAGTTCAACCTTCTCGACGCTTGTGCTAAGGGTTCAACCATGCCGATGTATGAGGGGATATCGGATTGTCCTACTGCAGTTGTCAGCGAGGTGGCAGCATTCATGTTGGCGGCGTTGAAGGATGGATTAAAAGACGCTGCTGCGGGAGGGCAGGATTACGCTTGGATGTGCACTACGTCGACGACTTCTGGTACCGAGACTAGTTCGACCACAGAGACGAGCTCGACCACCCCCCATACTACCACTGCCACCAGCTCTGTCACCAGTTCGACGGTCTCATCGACGATCAGCACAACATTAACGCACACATCCAGCACAACCATTACAATGACTACAATCACTTATACTCTCACTTCGACAACAGTCACATATACTTCCACCACGACTGCGACCAGAAGCGCTACCACAATCACAGAGTCGAGCACCACGACTGCCTCGGCTACCACTGAGACCAATACCTCATCCACGTCCTCTACCAGTGACAGCACAACGAGCCAGACGATCACAAGCTCGACCACTGCTGCCACCACGACGGCAACTGACTCAGCGACCACCACTTCGAAGACCTCGAGTGGTACAAGCAGTTCTACTAGGAGCACCACCACGGCGTCCAGCTCGACCACTTTCACTCGAACGACCATCACGGGCAGCAGCACCTCCACCTTGACCACCAGTACCGCAACGCTGACGAGCACCGTCTCAACATCGGGGACGAGCACTTCCACACAGTCAACCACGACTGCGACCCTGACGAGTACCACGGACTCTAGCTTTACACAAACCACCAGCACGGAGACGAGCTTCACTCGCACAAGCACAGCCACAATGAGCAGCGCCACTCTGACTAGTAGTGGTACAACGATTTCGACGACCTCTACTCGAAGTAGCACCACGGCAAGCAGCTTCACTTGGACGAGCTCGACAGCAAGCAGCTTCAGTTTGACAGCCACTACGGCGACGAGCTCCACCTTGACTAGCACCACCGCCACCAGCCGTACCCTGACTAGCACCACGGCCACTAGCACTTCAGCAAGTAGCTCGACAATGACTAGCACCACGCTCACCAGCAGTGCCACAACAACCAGCAGCACCACAGCAAGCAGTACCACAGCAACCAGCACGTGGTCGGTGACCAGTTCCACAACATTGACCAGCTCTACAGGAACGTCTTCCTCCACTACGAGCTCGAAGAGTGAAACTGTCAGCTTCACAGAGTCCAGCACTTCCACACTGACTCACACAGCCACAAGCACCAGCACAGAGCACACAACCAGTGTGACAAGCACGACTTCGCGTTCAACAGTCACTTCTTCGCTAACGAGCACATCGGAAACCAGCTCCACCATGACCACCACATCAGAAACCAGCTCCACAACTGCAGCGACGGCAACGACAACTGTAACATCGCACACTTCTACCCTCACTTTGACGAGTACTTTTACGGGCACCAGCACCGTGACTCTTGTCAGCACGACAGGGTCCAGCAGCACAACCATTAGCACCACATTGACTAGCGCGACGGCAACAAACACCACTTCAAGCACAAGCGCGACGGCAACCATTAGCACTACCTTGACGAGCACTTCGGAGACGAGTTTAACCACAGTGAGTACAACTGGTACCTCAAGCGCCACAGCGACTGAAACGCTGACCAGTACCACGCGATCCAGCACGAGCACTACGACTTCCAGCTCGACACTTAGTAGCACAACGGTCACGAGCTCGACAAGCATCACGGTGTCGCGGACGAGCACATCAACATTGAGCACCACATCCACCAGCAGCGCTTCAGAAAGCAGTTCTCTGACACTTACCAGTACATCGCTAACCAGCAGCACGACTTTGACCAGCTCTTCTGCCACAAGCTCGTCGTCCGTGACAAGGACCTCATCAGTCAGCAGCACGACCATGAGCACTCTCAGCCACACCAGCACCTCCCAGAGTACAATCACCCAGTCCAGCTCGTTGACAGTTAGCAGAACATCAACTTCGACGAGGACTCTCACCAGAACCACCGCGACCAAGACGACTGGCACGACCACATCGACGACGGAGAGCAGCACAACGACTCCACACACTACTTCGGGTACGAGTTCGTCAAGCCTGACCAGCTACACTGCGACCAGCAGCACCTCGGCAACCAGCAGCACGACCATGAGTACTTCGTCGATGACGAGCACCACCTCCTTCCACACAACCACCGTCTCCATCACCTACACCACCTCGACCGACACCACGACACTAACCGAGACGTCCACCACCACGAGCTGCCTGATCCCCCTGAGCCCTTATGCCTCGGACCCGGCCCCGTGGTGCGGCGTCGGCGACGAGCTGCTGGGCCCTGCGAGCGAGGCCGGGCAGGTGTTGGTTGAGCTCCGGAGCTGGCTGGCCCGCTTCCGCGGCACGCAGCTGGCGGCTGGAAGCGTGGCGCACGTCGACGTACCTGCGCAGCCGGACGTCAGCGGCAAGGCCACCTGCCCGCTACCCGCGGCGGGCACGCTGCTGGGTGCTCTCGAGGAGCACGCCCTGGACTACCGCGTGCAGGTGGCAGTGGAGATCCGACAAGCGCTGTCCACCGTACTGTCTTGGGCGCTGGGCCTCTGCGATCACGCGAAGTCTTGCGACCGGTTTGATCTCTTGGCGCTCTGGCGGCTCATCGAGCAGGGCCTGGAGCAGTGGCTCCCGCGCGCGGGTTACGGCTTCTGGGAGTCCCCGTGGGCGCACGAGCAGTTGTTGAGGGAAATCCGCGTGGAGGCGGGCCTGGCGGAGACGCTGCCAGACCGCCCCAGCCTCTCGCACAGCGCCTCGCGGCTGGCGGTCTTTCCAGCTCCAGCGGCCACCGCTCTTCGGCGTCGGACGGCCCCAGTGGCGGTGCGTGCGCCCGTGGAGATTGCGGCGAGCGGCCTGCATCCCTCTCTGGAGCCGCGGTGCCTGGTCCAGGGCGACAACGGCTCCTGGTCCGTCGTGCCTGGGGTGCAGACGGCGGACACGGTGGTACGCTGCACGGTCACCCCGTTCGCGTACGCGGCGCACGATGCGCGGTTGGTGTTGCTGCTGGCGTCGGGGGTGAACGCGTCCCGCCTGGATTCGCCAGTCGTGGCAATCCCTGCACGGGAGCCCAGCGAGAAGGTGTGCGTGGAGTGGCAGGACTGTCATCCCGGGGCCAACGCCTCCGAGGACCGCGCCGCGAACTGTTCCGTGCGCACCACCTGCTCGAGGCCGCCGCGGGGCGAAGGTGTCGACGCGCCAGCGCCGGCGCCGCCGCTGCAGCTGAGCTTCTCCGATATTGGAATTCCCTCGCTCGTGGAGCCCGCCTACGTTTACACGACGGGTGGTGCGGTCCTGCGCGTGGTGGGCGACTTCGCTGCCGTTGGCGACGCTTGGTGCAGCATTGATGGCGTCAGGGACGCCGTCAGAGCCACGAAAGTCACTGACACGCAGCTCCAGTGCCGCGCGCCCGCGCGGATGGCTGGGACGGCCCTGGTGTACGTCACTGCAAAGGACGCGCTGGGGCAGCCCGCAGTTGTGTCCAGCAGCTCAGGCTTGATGCGGGTGGAGTACGTCGAGCCAGTGCACCTCTTCGAGGTCAACCCCTCAGTAGTCATGGACGGCAGCGGCGTGGAGCTGAGCGTGTGGGGTTCACACTTCCGCGACGTCGCGTCGCTGCGCTGTCGGTTTGATGCGGCCGGGACCCGCAACACGACGACCACGCGCGCGGTCTCGCGGCAGAGCTGGAGTGGCAGGGTGCTCTGCAACCCCAATGTGACGGAGGCCTCGCTGAGGACCTTCGTGATGTCGCCGTCGACGCCTCTGGAGCCCCCAGAGGCCTCTGGGCCTGGAGCCCCCTTCGTGTGCGCGTCGCTGGCGGAGGACGGGTGGTACTACCACGCGCCGGAGCAGCGCTTGTTCGTTCCTCGGTTGGGCGACGTGCTCGTCGCCGAGCTGGTCGGGGGCACGGCCTTCTCCCTCCAGGGCCAGAGGAGCGTCTTTGCAGGAGTGCAGTTCGGATACGACTGGGGGGACCTCGCGTTCGTGCGCTCGGTGGAGAACGAGAGCGAGTGGTTCGCGGACCGCCTGGAGGACACATTCACCAGGACGTCCAGTACCCTCAGCACCGAGACCCTGACCCAGACCACTGGAACCTCCACGCTCACGACGGGCTCGACCACCACGAGCTTGACGTCGACGTCGGCCACCAGCAGCTCGTCGCTCACAAGCACTTCTGCGACCACCGCGAGCGCGACCAGCATGAGCGTTTCCTCGACTACGACTGCTACATCCACGCTGACTTCTACCACGCTGACTTCTACCACGCTGACTTCGTCAGCGACTTCGACGACGACGGCGTCGACCACGATGACGTCGACGAGCACGCCGACAACGACGGCGAGTTCAACGATGACAGCGTCGGCGGCGGCGCGACGGCTGACTGACGGCGGTGCTGCTCTCGTGGGCATCTGGGTCAGCGGCGGCGTGTTCGACTTCATGAGCACCGTTGCAGTCGAGACGGCCTCCTCCATTACCACGCCGACCTTCCGGTCCGCGCACCACATCGGCTGCCCCATTCCCGAGCCGAGCTCGTGGCTGCGCGAGGGCGACGGCAGGGCGGAGCTGCGAGTGTCGCTCAACGGAGAGGAGTGGTCCGACTCTTACGTCGACGTGATGTTCCAGACGCCGCCGTCGCTGGCGTCGGCTGTCGCGGTCGCGAACCTTCCCCTGGCCTCCCGCGGCGCGGAGCTGGCGCCGGACGCTGCCGACTGGGGCGCGCCGCCGGGGGACATGGTGCTCCTCCTGCGCGGCCGCCACTTCAGCGCGTGGCCGGACGTCCTGTGCGAGCTGCGCCCCCGTGGCCAGGCGTACCCCTCCGTGTTCGTGCCGTCCTTGCTCCTGAGCGACAGCGAGCGCGCCTGCGCCGTGCCCCAGCAGTTGGCCGAGGTGGTCGCCGAGAACCTGTCGTTGCAGCTGGTGGCGCCGGACGGGCTCACCTACTTCTTCAAGAGCGAGATCGCAGTGGGAGCGTACCCTGTCTACGAGAGCCTCTCTGGCGGGACGGCAGGGGACCGCGTCCCTCAAGTGCTGGGCGTCTCCCCGGACTGGGGCTGGACGACCGGTGGCACTCTGGTGCGCGTGCGCGGGCTCAACCTGCCGCAGGCGCTCACGAACCACCGCGGTGAGGTGGCCGTGCGCTGTGACTTCGGACCGGCGGGCATCGAGGACGCCGTGAGCACGAGCCCGACACAGGTGGAGTGTCCTGCCCCCGCCACGGGCAAGGTGACGGTGGTGTCCGTCTCCGTTCTGGTGGGCAACCCGCCCCACCTGTGGCTCTCGACCGCGACGGCCAACTTCCACTACCTCGCCCGTTTCCACGTGGCGCAGATCACGCCCGCGCTCGGCACCACCGCCGGATCGGGGAAACGTTAGAATCGAGTGCGCCGGAACCCTGGATTGTCGACCTCTTTTTGACAGGCCCGTCCTGGATTTTGACGGTCCAGTTTCGTGGGATGTTTGCAGCGGGAGTTCGCGTCAAATTTCAGACTGGTCTCGTCATTTTCCCGACAGCCCTGTCAGGCCAACCCGGGTTCCCCGAACCCGAGTCTTTCGTCTCCCCGACAGGAGGGACCAATGTGACCCTGACGATGACGACCGAGCCCACGGCGTTCACCAACTTTAACTTGCAGTGCGCCTTCGGGCGCAGCCGGGTCCCCGCCACGCTGGTGCAGGTCTCGACGGGGTCCCCCGGGCTCCGCACGTACACGCTGCGCTGCAAGGCCCCGGCGGTGGAGCACGCGCCGCGCTACACGCGGGAGGGCTGCACCTGCAAGGCGCGGTGGTTCCTCCCAGACGGGCAGCAGTGCGACACGCATTGCTGCGCCGGGCCTGGGGACGAGGCGCCAGGGTGCTACGTCGAGGACCCGCAGTGCCAGGGGGCAGACTGGGGCCTCTGCGACAGCTCCAGGGCCCTCATCAGCGACGGGCTCTACCCTGTGTGCGTCCGGGTGCTGCCCTCCACCGTCGGCTCCATCGGAGAGCACCAGCCCTGCAGGAACTACTTCAACTACATATTCAGCCCGTTTGCGGACTCGGTCTCGCCGGCCTTCGGCCCGATCACCGGTGGCACCAGCGTGATCGTTCATGGGCGCTTCTTCCCAGAGACGTACAGCGGCATGCTTTGCCGTTTCCTGTCTTACGTCGCGCCGGCGCGCTGGCTGAGCAAGACGGAGATGGCCTGCGTATCTCCTGCCGCGCGCGGCGACCACTCTGGCGTCATGACGGTGCCAGTCACGATATCCGTGAATGGCGGCGCGGATTGGGCATCAACCACGGCGGAGTTCACGTTTGTGCCCACGCTCCAGGGCTTCGTCACCCCAGACTTCGGCCCACAGCACGGCGGCACGGTCATCAATGTGCACGTGCCGCGGCCCTTTGGGGAGCACGGGGAGGCCGAGCGGAACACCGTCCAGTCTTGCTGCTTCGGCGCTCCGCCGACTGTCGTGGTGCCGGCCACGATGCTGTCGGACACGCACTACCAGTGCAGCTCGCCGGCGTGGCCGGCCGCGCCGGTCAACGTCTCCGTCGGGGTCGTGCAGGCAGACGGCAGGTGCCAGCCCCTGCCCAGGGCCCTGTTCGCCTTCGTGCAGGCCTGGCGGATCACCAGCGTGCGCCCGTCGGAGGTCTCGGAGGCCGACCTCGGCAGGCAGGACATCACTGTCTACGGCGAGCACTTCCGAGGCCACGGGGGGAGCAGCGGAAACGGTACGTGGCCGTCCGGACCAAGCACGCAGCCAGCGTCAGGCGAGGTCACGGTTCCAGACCGGGGCGGTCTCGGATTCCCCGTCCCCCGGGATGGGACTCTTCCGTGGTCGTTTTTACCATCATTCGGGCTCTCCAGCGAAACGCCATTAGGGAAGAAACAGCACGCGACATGAGCCGGACGGGGCCAGGACGAGGATAGATCCATTCCAGAGCGTTCCAAGAACGCTCTCAGAGCGTTGCAGAAGGCTCTGGGAAGGCTGCAGCGCCCGATACATCCTCCAGAGCCGCCAGATCTAAGATGTTTTCGATTTATCCTCACCCGATTTTATCCTCGTCCTGTCTTCGTCGAACTCCAGCTGCTTTCTCTATATATTTTTTTGTTTTTGAATTTTGGTATGCCAAGTCTCGAATATGTTGTGACTATTGGTGACATTATTCTTATTTTTCTCTTCCACAAATCTCCCTGTAGGAGGACATGCCCGGCCCGATCCTCGGGTCGGCTCCTGGCCCCCCCCCCTCCCCCCCCACACCACCCCTGGCCGGCGCCACCGCGCGCTGCCCCCCCCCCCCCCCGCGGCGTGGGGCAAGCGCGCGCTGGAGAACGGGCGTGGTCGCGGGGTAGGAGAGGGGTGTGGCATAAAGTGGGTGTGGTGCCGATGCTGGATCTGGCGATGTTATCTATCGCAGATGCCACTGCAATTTCCACGATTGGCACCACACCCCTTTATGCCACACCCCTTTTCGACCTTCCAGAGTGCCTAAAACAATTGCACTCCAGACCTGTGGATCTATCTGGATTGCTTCAAACCTCGGCAGAAATTAGGACGTTGATGTCCCCTGGCTATTTTGTTGCCCTCCTGGAAATTCAGGTGGGGCACTGCGCCGACCCAAGAGATCTGTAGACCTCGGAGAGTGTGCGTCGAAGGAGAAAGTAACGCCATCGACATAAACTTTTGGCGCTCCGCGCGGAGCGCCAAAAGTTGGTGCCTACGGCGTTTGTCTGTTGCTGTTATCGTTCCAGGTCAGCACGGCGCCTTGTGCCGCTTCGGGGCCGGTGGGCCCACGACCAGGGCGACGGTTCTGGAGCTCGACGCGGCCCTCGTGTGCCCGGTCTCCGGCAACCTGAGCCTCGAGCAGAGCCCGAGGGGGCTCGACCTGGATGTCCAGGTGGCCATCAATGGGGCGGACTTCCTCGGCGGGGGCTCCGATGCGCTCCTGCGGCTGCGGCCCTCGCCGATGGTCGCCTCCCTCGCGCCATCGCAGGTCTTCGCGCCAGGACAAGTGCCGGTGACGGTGCGTGGCTCCAACTTCGGCTCGCACCTCCGCGTGTGCGTGTTCGGCAACCAGAGCAGGCACATCACCACGCCTCTTGCAGCGGTGGCGTCGGAGAGGGAGGCCGTCTGCATCGCGCCTTCCTGGGTGATCAGTCCCGATGGCGATGCCAGCGAGCACGTGCCAGTCAGCCTGGCCCCAGATGGGTACTGGAACGCGCTGAACTCAAGCGCAATCTTGACCTTCGTTGCCACCCCAGAGGTCGAATACCTGTACCCTCCCGAGGGCCCCCTCGAGGGTGGCTCGCAGATCCTTGTGCGCGGCAGGCACTTCAACCTGTCGTCCGCGATGCGCGCGGATGTGCCGCTCACGTGCGCGTTCGGCACCCGGGAGACCCCTGCCAGCGTCCTCTCGGACACCGAGCTGTCTTGCAGTTCGCCGCCAGTGGACAACCAGGAGGCGTACACCGGCACCGGGCATCTGGTCGCCTTCGGCGTCAAGACGGTGCCAAGCTCTGCGCCTCCCGAGGCCAACACCCTCGCCACGGCAACTGGGCAGCAGGAGCAGATGGTCTTCTTCTACCGCCACGTGAGCGTGAGCTTCTCCCACGTGGAGCCCTTGAGCGGTCCAGAGTTCGGCGAGACAACTGTGAGGCTCCGGTCCGACCAGCCGCTGCTCAATTCGCAGATGCTGCAGTGCGTCTTCGGCGACGTTGCTGTCAACCTCTTCCGCCTGTCCGCGTTCGAGGCCAGCTGCGTGTCACCGGCTGCCTATGAGCCGAAGGAGGTAGAACTGAGCATCACCACTGACGGCCAGAACCGGATCAGCATCGGCCCAGGTGGTACACAGCTCAACTTCACGTACTACCTGTCGCCCACTGCATCTACGTGCACGCCGTCGTTTGGTTCGGCGGCAGGTGGCACCGTTGTTCAGATTTCTGGGTCTCACTTTATCAACAATGGCAGGCTTACGTGCCGCTTCGGGGACACCGACGTCGTCGCCTCGCGCTTCATCTCGAGCCAGCTCATCCTTTGCGTCACGGCCCCCATGCCCGCGGGGAAGGTGAGCGTCAGTGTCTCGAACAACGCGCAGAATTTCACGCTCAGCAGCGGGGCGGAGTTCGAGGTGCTGGACTGGCAATTCTTCCATATGACGCCGTACCTGGGGCCAATCAGCGGTAACACCACCGTCTACGTGGAAGGCAACGTGCCTGCGACCGTCGCGAATAACATCCGCTGCACGTTCGGCTCGACGGTCGTGGCTGGCACCTACATCAACACCTCGCTCTTCTTCTGCGTATCGCCAGCAGTGGCCGTCGTGGGCGAAGTGACTGTGCTCATCACACTGAATTACCAGGATACCGTCGAGACGTCGCAGAAGTTCTTGTACTACGACAACCCAGTCGTCGAGAGCGTGAGCCCCGATGTGTCCCCGTCGTCGCAGGCCCTGAGCATCCAGCTGACCGGGCGGAACTTCGTCAGCACGAACTACTTCACGATTCGTTTCGGCGGAGTCTCGGTCGAGGCGGAAGGCGACCACGTGACGCAGCGGGGCGTCGTCGTATCATCCACAGAAGTCGTATTTGAGCTCCCGGCCTCGCTCACTGTCGACGACATCACGCGACTTCCTTTATATACCTCCAACAATGGCCAGAACTTTGCTCCAGAGGGCGTCGCCGAGTGGGATCCCGACACCAACGCTTACGACGAGCCGCTCTCCATGGCGTACCTGACATTGCACGACCAGCTGCGGCTTCTGGAGGTGGACCCCGACTACGGCATGAACCACGGAGGCGGCTTTGTCTCCGTGTATGGCAGCGGGTTCCTCAACACCACTGGCCTGGGCTGCAACTTTGGCTGGGTGGAGTCGCCCTCAGCGGTGTACGTGTCCTCCAGGCTGGTCATGTGCGAAGTGCCCGACATGCTCGCCGCGAGGACCAACCAGGCGCTGGGCACGACCACGCTGCGCCTGACACTGAACGGCAGGGACTGGTCCCGGACGCACCTCGACTTCAGATTCTTGGGGCACGTGCCAGTTGGGCACTATGGCCAGCACACAGACTCGGGGGCATACACCTTCAGAATTCTGCCGTGCCCCTCGGGCCACTGGTGCGAGAGCATTGGCATGAGCCAGCCCACGCCCTGCGCGCCAGGCACGTTCCAGCCATACCGACGCCAGTTGATCTGCCAGCAGTGTCCGCGCGGCTTCTACTGCCAGCAGTCGCGCATGATCAAGCCGTCGGCGTGCCCCAGGGGGTGGATATGCGACGAGATCGGGCTGATCGTGCCCTACAAGAGGTGCCCCAAGGGCCACGTCTGCAGCACTGGGGTCGCGACCCGGGAGGCCCACCTCGCGCTGCAGCTCCCAGGCAAGAAGCCGCGGCTCTGCCCGACTGGGCTGCACTGCTTCGAAGGCACGGCGGCGCTGAACTCGAAGCCGCACAACTACTCGACACCTCAGCCGTGCTTCCAGGGCTACTTTTGCCCGCCAGGCAGCTTCAGCCCATTCGGCGCCGGGGGCTGCCCGCTTGGCAAGTACTGCCCTACCCCGCGGCACCCCGGCCTGGTATGCCCCGAGCGCTACATGTGCGGGCCGCTGCTGGGTCAGGTGCACCCGATCCCTTGCCCGACTGGCACCTTCAACCCGTGGCCAGGACAGTGGAATTGCACGCTATGCCTGGAGGGCGGCGTATGCCCACGGAAGCGGATGCGCCTGCCGCAGGTGTGCCCTTGTGGGTACGACTGCAGCAGCCGCGGGACCTCGATTGCACCCAGCCTCTGCCCAGCTGGGCTCATGTGCCCCGACGGCACTGCAACGACGATCGAGCCGGCCTTGTGCCATGCAGCAACGTACGACCCCGCCATCGAGATCGAGTTGGAGGCGGAGCAGGAGATGGTCTGCGACTACACGTACGGCCAGCATTTTGTCTTCCCCAGCAGGGTTTTTACATGGGCGCCCAAGATGGCCGAGCGATTCGGCTGGGTCGAGGGCAACACGGAAGGCATGGCGGCCTGCTGTTGGGACACTGCCAGGGTGGCACAGGAAATCACTGCGTTCATCGAAAGTTACAGCGCAGAAGGGGACATCACGTCTCAGAAGACATTGAGCCGGCTGCTACTGCTCATGGATAGTTACAACTCAGCCCAGGTGGGCGACATTGAATTAAACAGCTTTGACGGGGTTATGCTCTTCAACATCAGTGAGACGGAGTGGCGAGACACATGGCTCGTCCGCCACCGCAAGACCCGCGCGACGCTGCTGCACCATGTCGAGAAACTATGGAACTTTGTGCGCCCCGACCCCTGCCCGGCGGGCTCGTACTGCAACGCTGGGACGTGCCCCAAGTACGCGCAGGCCGGCGTCGTCTCAATCGACTTCAGCGCAGAGAGCACTGCGACCCTCCTCCGCCGCCTGCGAGAGGACGACAGCAGGCCGCCCGCCTCCTGGCCCGCAGCCAGGAGTGCTGGCCAGAACGGCACGGGGAGCCCGAGCTGCGCGAACTGTTCGGAGGGGTGGCCCGTCTTCACTACCTTCAAGGCGTCCGACATCAAGCTCCGGGTGCAGGGGATGCCCCCCGTGAAGAAGGTGCGGCAGCCGGACCAGCGCCTTTACAGGGCCGAGGGCGTGCTGTTTTCCAGCCTCGGCTCAGACGACCTCCTGCGCGGCGTGTACCTGAACAGGACACGAAGAACAAAACAACTGTACAGACATACACTTTGGGAGCTCCGCGCGGATCTCTTGGATCAGCGCTGGGCCCCCTCCCCCTGGCGCGCGGAGCGCGCCAGGGCCGACGCAGGAGGCGCCGCCAGGGGGGGGCCAGCGCCGATCCAAGAGATCCGCGCGGAGCTCCGCAGGTGTATGCCTACGCTATTGTTTGTTTCTTCCCTTCCAGGTCCTCGAGGGTGGAGCGCCAGGAGGGCAGGCGCCTCACCGCCGCGGCCACGAGCCTCCCGGACTTCAGCATCCTGGCCGGTCTAGCGCAGCAGCAGTGCATGGCGGGCACCTACTGCACCCTCCGCGCCGACTCCTCCGCGGGCACCGGCCTCTGCCCCACGGGCACCGTCTGCATGCCCGGGGCGGGCGACCCCGTGCTGGCGGACTCCGGGGTGTTCGTCGGCGACTCCGCCAGCGTGGTGGCGACGCTCTGCTTCCCTGGAGACCGAGGAGGAGGAGGAGGAGGAGGAGGAGGAGGAGGAGGAGGAGGAGGAGGAGGAGGAGGATGATGACGATGATGATGATGAGGAGGAGGAGGGGGAGGAGGAGGAGGAGGAGGAGGAGGAGGAGGAGGAGGAGGAGGAGGAGGATGACGATGATGATGATGATGAGGAGGAGGGGGAGGAGGAGGAGGAGGAGGAGGAGGATAATGAGGAGGAGGAGGAGAGACCGATACTGCTACCCTTCCCTCGTCACCACGGCTGGACTCGTTTCGAAATCTTTGTCCGAGGCACACCAGGAAGAGGTCCATGGAGTAGTGGTATCATTGCGCTGTGTTTCACCAGGAGAGTTCGCGCCAGGTCTGGGCACGTCGCAATGCCTCCCGTGCCCCGCGGGCGCCTCGTGCCCGGCCTTTGGCACGACCGTGCCGAAGATCTGCCCGCCGGGGTCGTTCCGGGCGCCGCAGACGAACGCGTCCACGCAGACGACCATCTCCTGCGAGCAGTGCAGCGCGGGCACCTGGTCGCCGTGGCGCTACACCCCTGGCTTCTCGTCCTGCGAGCCATGCCCTGACGGCCGAGTGTGCGACAGGGGCACCGGCAATGTGTCCGAGGGCACGCCTTGCCCGGAGGGATATATCTGCGGCGAGGGCACCACGCCAGAGCAGCAGACGTCCACGGGATGCTACGATGGCTTCTTCTGCGACAAGTCCACTACTCCTACGAGCGTTTGGAAATCCTTGTGCCTGGAGGGGTTCTACTGCGGGGAGAGAACCACGTACAAGAACAGGTACAAATTCCGATGCCCTATCGGCTTCTTCTGCCCCGCGGGCACGGGCTACAAGAAGGATCTCAACAAACAGTTGATTGCACAATCTGCTTACCTCTTGAAAATGGAGTTCTACTTGATGCAGAAGCTGGCGCAGTACTGTGCGCGGCAGGTGATGTTGCAGAAGGAGCTGGAGGTGGCGGCAGAGGTTGCTGCGGCAGAGGCAGCCGGCACCCCCACGCTGGGTAAGTTCGAAATCGCCTTCCGCGTGTCGCAGTGGCTTCCCATCTCGTTGGAAGATGGCATGATGTGCCAGACACAGGCGATCGACGCCGTGTGGTTGGAGTACACCTCAAGGTATGGCGGCCCACACGAGAACCTGGACTTGCTCAACGGAACGATACACGGTAACATCGAGGATCTCAAGGGTGAGCTTTTGAAGCCTTTACTGGAAGCAATGAGGTCCCCGTCGCAGTATAGCAACAAGTGTAGCCAGTTCAACTCGGAGCTTGGCGGCCCAGGATACCCGGTCCCGCCCGAAGGATTCCAGCACAACATGACTCAGGTCGAGTGCCTGTGCGTTGCCCCTTCGGTGAGCGCCATGCTTCAGTGCTTCGGTAGTGGAGGCGGGGACGATTACCCCATGCCGAGCTGCGTGGAGCTCCAGACTGAATGGAACTCCAGCTGCTTGGATTCGTCCTCGTCACTGGTGGACGATTTTGATTTAATGGCGGGCCACTACTTGTCGTACGTTCAGGCTTCGCTGGTGCAGGAGTTGGGGACTCGAGCGTCCATGGATGAAGACTCGAAGACGCGGTGCCCAGTCGGCACCATGACGGAGGTTGACGGGCAGTGGCTACTTACGAGTTGCGTGAAGAGGTCGGAGGTATCCCACCTGCAAGTCGACGGCAGGGTGAACGTCGATGCACAGACTCCTGTAGAAATGGACATCGTCGTTGGCAGGGTGAATCCAGTCAATTGCTCTGCCGTCACACCCGCGGCGAGTTCCGGGGACTGCGAGCAGGAGGAGGAGTCCTTCCGATCGGTTTTCCAGGCAGAAGCTGGAGGCCTCACCGTCATCACGTTCGACTTGCGCCACCTGCCCGCCGAGATCTCCTACGGCAGGGACTACCAGGTGCGCTTCTTTATGAACGACACGCTCGTCCCCGACTACGACGACCCAGTCGAGTGCTCCATCCTGGTGCAGTCGTCGATCTTCGACTTCACATCGACCGGGACAAGTCCCGGTGTGGTAGCGATGAACGCACGTGCCCGCGGGTGCACGGAGATGCCCTTGCCGCACGCCTTTAACCCAAACGTCCTCACTGAGGAGCAGAGCAGGGTTTTCTCGTTCACGCTCTTTGCGAGGGTCGCGTTCCAGTGGCGCGTCGAGGTGCAAATCCTGAACGGGATGCACATGCCAGCCCGCTTCATGTTCGTGCGATCAGCCGTGATCGAGTCAGCGTCCCCCCAGCGCGCCTCAGTGGGAACAAACAAGGCCTTCGCGGTTGAGATGAGCCAGAGTTTGTCGATTGAGCTGCCGGCGAACATGCCGCTCAAGAGCTACTTCTGCGGCGCGGAATCCGCTTGCGCCCAGGAGCCCGTAGTCGTCTCGAAGGCGTACCTGAATTATTTGCCGGTCATTGGCGACATTGTCTCCGATATGAAGCACCCATGGCGAAGCGGCCTTTTGGACTACCGCTTTGATGACAGAGACTCGTACTTCGACGGCGGCGAGGGCAAACAATACATGCTCCACTTGCCATACTTCAGCAACTGCCGCGGGTATGGGCGAACGGTGCCAGTTTGGGCCGTGACAGAGCAGGCCAAGGGGTGCAAGTGGCTAGATGACCCAGAGAGCGTCTCCGCGATCTCGCTGGGAAAGGAAGCATACGGCGACCTGTGTGGCGCCACCTCTGTGGAGTGCGTCCTCGACGAGGTTCCAAACGTGAAGATGTCTTTGCCAAGATGGTTCGAGGCAGCCTCTGGCGAACAGATATTCTCGATCACGCGCGAGCCCGTCTCCCCAGACTTGAGCGAGGACCTGACCAACATGATCATGACTCCGATCTATCTCGTAGAAGGCGTCACCGTCCGCGGCTCGCTGCCGAAGCAAGTCACCGTGGTCCTCCAGTACTGGCAGAGGACGCCTACAGAGAAGATCCTCGCAAAGGGCAGCGTGTATTACACGGGCATGGAGTCGCCTATACAGACGGTGCTGCAGGGTACGGACCCCTGGGTCTATTCGCTGACGGTGCTGTATTATCCCATGACCCACTTCGAGGCCATGGTCAGTTTCGCCTTCCCGCTCCACTTCTACTTCGTGCTCTACGTTGCCATCGGGCTCCTGTGCGTGGGGATGGTCCTGGCCCTCTGGGCCTACCACCGCTTCTGCTGCCGCCTGGACGAGATACCGCCGCTGCTGGACTCCGCGAATCTGCGGGCCTATCTGCCGCCGATCTTCAAGGGCCTCGTGTTCGCGGTGCCTACGATGCTGCCCGCATTCATTTTGGGTATCGGCATCGTGGAGGGAGAGTCGGCTGGGCAGAAACTGCCCTTTGGCGACTGCGACGACCCCGCGTACGTGGCGCTGTGGGTGGATCCGAACTGCCAGCTGGGCGAAGCGTGCTGCCCGCGGGGCTTCTGGGACTTCGTCAGCAGCTCGTTTGCGGGCGAGGAGGCGGCCAGTATAACATATCCTGGCGATCGTCGCACAGGGCGCACCGGCACAACTCTGGTGTTCTTGGGAGCCTACGCGGCGGTCGCCGCTGTCAGGCTGCTCGTCCCAGCCACCGAGAGCCAGTACTACCACAGGCAGGATCAGGCGAAGCAGCAAAAGAATGCGCAGGACGCGTCAGACGCGGACGACCTGAGCAGGAAGGACAGCGAAGCGCACGACTTGGTGCCCCAGGGGCCTGGCGCGAGGAGGCTGCCGCCAATCTTCACGACCTACCTGTGGAAGCGGTCTCTCCTCTGCATGATGATGTTCGGGCACGCGCTCCTTCAGGTCGTGATCCTCGACTTCTCCTTCTCGGACATCTTCAAAGACCACATCTACCTCGTCATGGTCGGCCTTCACCTTCTGCGAGTCGTCTTGAAATATTACCTCACGAACACGATCTACGACGCGCTACTCGTCGTTCCCTTAGTGGGCCTCGGAAACGGCACGACTGTAGTTTGTTGTTTGTCGAGTTTATCTTGAAAAGGCCTTACGGCCGGTGCCGCAACCCTGACGACGACGAAGACGAGGAGGACGATGAAGATCAGGAGGAGTAGGAGGACGCGGGGGACGCTGTGGAGCAGCAGGAGGAGGAGGAGGTGGTGAGGGAGGAGGATGCGGAGGAGGATGAGGAGGGGAAGCGGGGGCAGAGTGGAGGACGGGGGGGGTAGTGAACAGCAGGAGGACGAGGAGAATGGGAGTCGGGGAAATAGGACAAGGAGGAGGACGGGGAGGAGGGTGACGAGGAGGGTGCGGGGCAGTGTCAGCATGGGGAGGAAGAGGTCTGGGAGGCCTCTGGGGGTGAGTTTTGGGGCCTCGTGGGAGCCTCCTGGGAGCTTCTTGGGGCTGCTTGGGAGGCTCTTGCGGCTCAGTGTGGGCCTCTTGGGGGCCCCTTGGGGCCTTTGGTGAAGCTTTTTGGGGTCTCCTGGTGCCTCCTGGGAGCATCTCTGGGCTGAGGGCTGGATGTGTGCGTTGGATTCCCTCGTCGGGGTAGTCCTTGGAGCCGTCTCGGGGGCCTCTTAGGCCGTCTTGGAGCCGTCTGGGGCCGTCTTCGGGCATTTTGAGACGGTTTCGGGAGCTTCTTCGAGGCGTCTTGGGGCGATCTTGGGGGCCTCTTGGGCCAAGCGGGAAAGGCGAGAATGTCGCAATCCTTAAAAGAGCGATGCGACAATGAATGCATTGTCCCTTTTGGGCCTCTCTTGGGAGTGCTCCTCCATGTGTCTTGGGGCGTCTTGCAGGCTTCTAGGGCCGTCTGGAGGCTGTCAAAACGTCTTCTTGGACCGATCGTCTTGGGCGCCTCTTCCGAGGTCTTGGGCGCCTCTCGGAGCACTCTTGGCTCGTCTGCGGACTTTCTGGAGGCCGGCCCCCGCCCCCGGGGGGGATGCCATTCTGACCCGGGACCCCCCTGCGAACCCCCCGGGACGCCCCCCTGGCGGGGAAGGGAGGAGAGGGAAGGGGCTTCCTTCGAATCAATGACAGCGTTGTTGAATTTCGCTTTCGCGTTGGCTGGCGCGCTTGAGGCGTATGACCGAGGAAAAGCGGGGGCGACGACGGCGACGGCGACGGCGACGGCGACGACGACGACGACGAGTCAAACTGAACAGTGTCAACAGCCTCTTCGGGAAAGGAGGGAAAGCGGCGACGACGACGGGAACAGCCTCCTCCCCACGCCGACAGGGTCAGCGGAGTTCGGCAGTTTCCAGGACATGTCTCTCGATCATGAGAACGGCAAAAACTGGTCACACCAAAACGGTACAGTGGAGACCCATGCCAAGGTACACCCTGCTTGCCTCCAGGGTGCCCTGGGTTTCTTGAATTTCGAGAGTTTTGAGATGGAAAGCGCGACGTTCCCACGCCAACAATCCATGGACGCTCTGGGGTCTCAGGGTTGGGTTTCTTGTGGTAGGTTTCTTGTGGACTGGCCTCCACTGTAACAAATCGGTTCACCGAAGCGGCCTGGGCAGTCGGAGAATCCAAAGGGCGTTCAGGCGCCCACCCGGGGAAACGAAAATGGTAAAACGTCGGCGCAAACACGTCAAACAAAGGCGCCAGAAACGGTACAACAATTGACACATGAAAACGGTGAAACAACTGCCCTGTCGTTTCGAGGACCAACTGAGGTCGTCCCCATTCACGCGACGAGCGGGGTCATCTTTGTTTTTGTGCTGCTCTCAGCCCCCACGCTTCTCAACTTCATCGTTATGTACGTGCTGGTGCTCGGGCTCCAGACTATGGACCGCCTGTACCTGTCCCCCATGCAGGACATCGCCGTTGGGAAGGCTGCCAGGACGTACCGAAGGCTCATGGCCTACTACAAGTGGCTCATGGAGACGAGTCAGCGTGCGACGACGGCCGCCGACGACGATTCTGGCAGTGAGGACGGGGCAGCGGCGGCCCACGCGGACAGCGCGGAGAAGGCTGGAGGAGATGGCAACATCGATTTCGACACCCAGGGCATGATCAATTTTGTCGCGGACATGTCGGCGGACGCAGTGGCCACCATGATGACACCAGTCTTCTTCTGGCTCTGCACCAGCTATTACGCCGAGTCGTCCGTTTTAAACAATTACAACATTGCCACCGAGAACGATTTCTACTACATTATCTTCTACGCTATTCTTTTAGTGTTCCAGTTCCTCATCGATGTCGTGTCCATAAACTTGGTCGAGCTGTACCACGGGTGGCAAGTGACGGACTACCTCCTTTATTGCCAGTACAGGTTCAAAAACAGGACCGCAGATTGGAAGGGAAAGGAGACGACATACGACCAGGCCCTGTCTCCGCACCAGCGCTCAATCGACCAGATGTGCTTCTCGGAGCAATATTATTTCGTCATTTATATGGCCACAGCGGGCAGTTTATGTTTTATGTTTGGTTCACAGATGATCTTCGTGAACGGCTGGAATGTGTTTGACGACCCGGCCACGCCGGCCATACTGCTCGTGACAGTGGGATTATGCAAGGGCGTCGACATCATGACCCAGGTGTTCTCGTCCTTTGTGAATCTGTGGGTGGTCCGCGACAAGCGCGGCCTGTGGCTCCAGCAGCAGATGGAGATGATGGGCTGGTTTTTTACCACCACTACCATAGGTAGGAGAGGGAGGATGAGGACGAGGAAGAGGAGGAGGAGGAGGAGGAGGAGGAGGAGGAGGAGCAGCAGGAGGTGGAGCAAGAGGAGGAGGAGTAGGAGGAGAAGGAGGAGGAAGAGGAAGACGAAGAGGAGGAAGTAGAGGAGGATGAGGAGGAGGGGGAGGAGGAGGAGGAGAAGGATGATGATGATGAGGAGGAGGAGGAGGGAGGAGGAGGAGGTGGAGGAGAAGGAGGAGGAGAAGCAGGACCTCCCCATCCTCCCTTCTCCCCTGTCCTAGCTATGGTTGTGATGGTGGTGGAAAGTCGGCCCGTCAGGAGAAGCGCAAGAAGCTGGACATTGCCTGGCTCAAGCGCACCGACGAGCCAGTCGTGCCGCCGCCTGGGTCGGCCCACGAGGGCTGGCCGGAGCCCATGCCGCACGACGTCAGGGGCATGGAGCGGTACCGCCAGGCCTTCCTGCAGGAGAATTCGGTAGCAAATCATGGGACCCTGGTATACCCTCTCAATTCCGTCTTTAGCGTCGACCAGCGTCGATTAGCGTCTGGGAGTCGGTGAGATAGCGCCGATTTTGCGTCGGCTAGCGTCGATTAAGCGTCGGCTAGCGCCGTCTAGCGTCGATTCGCAAGAACCGACAAGATGGTATGGGAGACTCCCATGCGTTGCCACCGAAGGAGAACCAGATCTGGCTCCAGACGACGTTCTCCGAGCTCAGGGACAGAGACATCATGATGCGGCATCGGCACAGGCCTGGGGACACCAAACGAGGTGCCAACGCCGCCGCTCCCCTGGGTCTCTCCCGGGGTGTGCTCGGACCAGAGTCTCGAGGCGAAACCAGCGGTGGCGACGAGGGCCTCCCAGGAGGCCCAGCAAAGCGAAATCGAGGTAGGGTCGGCGCCATCCAGGCATGCTGATACTATGTGTGCGTCGCCCCCGATGGAGCGAAGCGCGCGCGCCGAGATGTCTTGTAACATAGGCGCCGTGGTCGGCGCTTTCTGGCCACACCGCTCGGGAAACGATATACTGCAAGATGGGTATACTGTCTGTCTGGGTCGGACGCGCGCCTCCAAGGAGGGCATACATATATATATATATATATATATATAGAGAGAGAGAGAGAGAGAGAGATAGAGTACTAGTGTGTCTCTGTGCGTCCCATTCCCCTCCCCCGAAGGCTGCTGCAGGAGCTGGCCGATCTCCTCTCGGAGCTGCCCCCCTCGAGGTTCGCGCCCGAGAGCGGCGCCTGGGCCCGGGCCGACGCGGGGCTGGACTTCGGCGCGGTGCCGCCCCTCGGCGTCGCGCGCGCCGCGGGCGAGGTGCAGCGGGAGGCGTTCCGGGGCTCGATCGCGCAGGAGATCCGTCGCCGGCTGCCCCGATCGGCGGCGGGCGAGGGGGGGAGCGCGAGGGAGAGGGCTCTCCGAGAGGGCGGCGGGGCCTCTCAGAAGCCCTCGCGCCTGCCGGGAGAAGTTGCCGGGTGTCTTGCGGGGAGGCTTCGGGAACTGCTCATAATTAAGGCGGGGGGGCTTCCCAGCCTGCTGAGAAGGCCCTCCCCTTCTCACTTCCTCGGGGCTCGATCGCGCAGGAGATTCGTCGCCAGCTGCCCTGAGATCCCAGCCCCCCTCTATGTAGGCCTCCTAGGTGGGGTCGGAGTAGATGGGGTCGGAGGATCGCGCCGCATCGCCGATGCATCGGCGATGCGGCGCGATACGGAGCCCGATATTCTCCATGCTGACGTCGCCGATGCATCGCCGATGCATCGCCGATGCGGCTCGTTCCTCCGACCCCATCCACTCAGACCCCATTTACGAGGCCTCTTTTCGAGTCGCGGTAAACGGCACGGCGGAAGGTATTGTCCGCTATGTTCAGCTTCTGGGAGCCCTTGTCAGTCTTCGGGAGGGTCCAGAACGCGACTCAGGATGAGAAGCCTGTCCTGAGGAATGGGTCGAGACCTTTGGGGGTCGACGCCATGAAATAATCATGACGTCGGGGGTCTAGGACCCTGGCGCTGTTTTTCTGTTCACACCAGGCGGGCTCTTTCGCATGGGAGACCAGTTTCAGAACAGTCTCTGGTATCGGGCCCGGGGACCATCACAGATCGATCCGGCTCGGAAATTCAGTTCAAAGATGGTGTCTAGGGTTCCGACCGTGATTTCTGGCAAAGTCGTACTTTCTTCGGGACGTCGGATCTCAGGGTGGGAGGCTGAGATGGCCCAGCATTGGTCCTGGCTAGCGGGAGGGGGCCTGAAGGGGCCCCTTGGCGCCACGGCTGGACGTGGTCAGTTTCGACCCCTGGATGGGGGTCTCGGGACTGATTTCGAGCCGATTTGCCCTCCTCCCCCCTCTTGGCAGATTCTCTCTGGATTCATCCGGCGCAGTCCCCCGGGTCGCTGCCAGCAGGAGATTATCATCATGTGGAGGAAGCGCGCCAAGTTCATGCTGCACCTGAGCAGGATCTCGTCCCTGGTCAAGCTCGAGGCGGCTGGCCGCGGCGGCAGCTGCGAGCTGTGCGGCCGCACGGAGGGCCTGGCGGTGAGCCCCATCTACACCCTCATGCACCTCGCGTCCCAGTACCGCATGCAGCGCAACATGTCTCCGCTGTGGAACACGTCTCTGTGGGAGCACTTCTACAAGAGCTTCACCCCCACCTGCACCATATGCGACCGCTGCCAGCAGAAGTACCACAAGGCGAACCAGAACATCCCCGTGGACGAGCAGCGCTTCCAGCGGATGCAGGACGCGAAGAGGGCGCCGACGGCGTTCGACACCATCCGGAACAGCGACATGCCCCTGGTGGTCATGCAGGAGGACGTCGCCCCGCTCCTGCAGCTGTGGATGGCCTGGACCGTCGACCTCGCCAACGGGGAGCAGCCCCGCGACTTCCTGCCGCGGTACGGCTTCGAGGGGCGCACGGCCAAGGAGATCCGGGAGCAGATGGTCAAGGATCGGGAGGGACAAGTCGGCATTTGCACCAAGAAGCGCCGATCTCCGGAACCATGTGGGAAAACATGGGAAGCGGGGGGGGGGGCGACGAACTTCCAGACCAGATGGACAAAGACCTGGGAACCCTGGCAGTTGTCTTTGTGTTGCGAAGGCCTTACGGCCAGTGCCGCCGACCCTGAAGGCGGGACCTCGCCCGAAGCCCCCGCTGGCAACCATCCCTGGGACCCGCCGGGACTCCGGCGGGGCGGTAGGGCGGGGTTCTGACCCTGGACGTTTCCCCCCCCCCTCCCGCCCCCACACCCCCGCCTTCCCCGCCCGGTCACCCCCCCTGGCGGCGGGGAAGCGATCAAGGGAAGGGGCTTCCCTTCGACTCAACCACGACGTTCCTTCTCTTCTCTGTTCCTCGATGCCCTTGGGACTGACGGCGGCGACGATGACGACAGCGTCTTCCACACGCCGAAGGTTTGGCGTTTTTTTGTGTCTCCCTGGGCCGATGGTGCAGGCGCCGATGGATGGGCCATATCTCGTCCCTCCCAGCAAGAGGAGGCGCGGAGGCGACGCATGAGAGCAGCCATGGGTACGAGATCCGTGCGCCTCCGCACTTAGTGAGTTGATTCTTGTGTGCGTTCTGCATTCATTGTTGCATGGTTCTCACGTCGTTCTGCACAGCGCCTTGTTGCACTCATGCCAGCGAAAAGAAGAACGCCTCCCCGGGCCCCTCTGGAGGAGAGCGCGGACGACCTGTCCCTGCCCTCGCTCTCGGAGGACAGCGGCGAGGAGCAGACGCCCGCCGCGCCCGCCGCGCTGGAGGACGTGGCTCCCCCGCCCGGCGCGGCCGCCGCCGTCGACGAGTTCGAGCCGCAGGAGGATCGAGAAGCGCAGTCGAGCATCGGGTTGAGAGTCGGGCGTCTCCCTCTACAGGGGAAAATTCAGCAAGAGTCGAAAAATAGTCGGGGGACGATGTTCCGACTATTTCCTATCATTTTTGGACATGTTTTGATTCTTGTTCAGTTTTCGTCCAAAATCCGCCTGTAGGAAGACATGTCCGACCCAAATCTGGTTGAGAAGCGCGAACAACGGAAGACGGCATAAACATAAACTTTCGGAGGTCCGTGCGAATTTTTTGGATCCGTGCTGGGCCCCGATTGGCGGCGCCGCTGGCGCCGCCCCTGGCGCGCTCCGTGCGACAGGGAGGGGGGGGGTCCAGCGCGGATCCAAGAGATCCGCGCGGACCGGCGAACGCTTCTGTTTATACAGCTTTTTGTTCCTCTAGAAGCCTCTTTCTGGCAAATTGGGCCAGCGTTTCTTAAACACTTTCTGAAACCAACTTGCCGCAAGGCTGGTCCAGTGTCTTGAGCACGTTCGCCCTTCCAGCGTCAACAACACGGTTTGCACCAGGCTTGCTTCAAACAACTCCTGGGAAGCTGTCTCAGGTTTCTTGAAATATTGTTTTTTGATACTATCTTCGGTTGTAATTAATTAGGATGTGCTCAGTGGGTCCTGGGTCCATGTTTAGATGGTAGATGACGGAAGCTTCCGCTCGTCTTGGATCGTTTGTGTATCGGCGAACAGCGGCCAAAGGAGTTCAATAGCGACAACTGGCGCCCAGTAGCGCCCAGTAGCGCCGAACAGCGTTCAAATAGCACCCAATAGCGCCATGTGGGGGATACACATTCTGTCCGACTGGGTGTTCTGTTAGGTCCATGTCTGTGGTTTTTGGCCCCTTGATGTGCATACTGACAGGGTGTTGCGGTCGGGAACTCTTGGACAGCGTGTCGCTCCGCCAGTTCTGGCCCACCAAGCTTCGGCGCGACACGCTATCCACTTCGCGGTCGCCAGCCGTCCACGCCTCGAGTTTTTCCGGGGCTCCCGCCCCGCGGAGGCGGAGCGACCCGCTCTCCGCTCGGAGGGCATGTCGTGTCGCCGGGGCCGCCGCTGCCGCGGCACGCGATCCGACAGTTCTTGACCGTAGGCCCATGTCGTGGAGTCGTCTTGGTCTTTGATGTACGTGCTAGCCCTGTGTAGGTGCCTACAATCAAGGCGCAGAATCAGGATGAGCGACGTTCCAAGGTTACCCCTGCATCCTTCCCTGTTGGCCTGTCCTTGGCCACTTTCGCCGGCCGCTCCCCGCCCGAAGAGTGTCGGCATGGCCTTCCAAGGCTCTTGCATCTTCATCGTGCATCCTTATCATCAGCGTTGACTGCAGCGCCTGGCCTCTGGACCCAAGATGTTTACTCCTCTGGAGGAGCCGCCGGGGCAGCCCGCGCAGCTCACCTGGACCGACCACGCCGTGTTGCTCGCGTGGCTGCAGGCCGCGCGCGAGGGCCTCGAGGCGCCCCAGCTTGGCCGCTGGAACGCCGAGCACGTGCTCGGTCGGGACGACGCCGCGGGCGAGCGCTGGGCCACGCGGCGGGCCTCAGCTGAGAACGCCCCCTCGGGATCGGGCGGCGGTGCCGCGGACCGGGGCGGGGGCGTGGGCCCAATGTGAGCCCCGGGGCGGGGCGGATGAGGGGAGAGAGCATTGAGAAAGAAGAGAACGAATCATAAAAACAGTCGCGTTCGTAATTGTAGTAGATATGGTATCCATGCAACGCACTGGAAGCGAATAACAAACAAGTAGATATGGTATCCATAATGGTATGTTGATGTGTTTCTTCTTCTTTTCTATTACTACTACTACTACTACTACTACTACTACTACTACTATTGCTACTACTACCATTACTACTGTTACAATTACTACTACTACTACTACTACTACTACTACTACTACTACTACTACTACTACTACTACTACTACTACTACTACTATTGCTACTACTACCAT